AATGAAAAAATCATAGCCCATCAAGACAGGAGGGGACGGCACACGTGGCTAGGTGGCTGGTGAAAGGAAGGGAGATACAGGAGAGAGAAAGAAACAAGAAGCAAGCCTTAAAACACAATATCATAAAACAAAGGAAAAAAAAAAAAACCAGAAAAAGGGAACAAAGCAGTCACTCCAAAAAATCACAGCCTGATAAGAAGGGGGAGGGAGGGGATAGCACACAGGGCTAGCTGCCGAAATGAAAGGATGGAACGGAGGGAGAGAGAAGCAACAAAAAAGGCCCAAAAAAACACAAACAAACAATGAAAAAACAAAACAAAAAAATGAACAAAGCAAACAAACTAAAAAATCACAGCCCGTCAAGAAGGGGAGGGGATGGTCCAGGGGGCTAGCTGCACAGGAGAAAGGAAAGGAAGGAAGGGGATGCAAGAGAAGCAACAACAAAAGCCAAAAAAAAAAAAAAAAATCGACAAACAAGAAAATGACGCTGAAGGGGCCAGTAAGTGGGGGCAGGGTGGACCCCAGCTGCAGTGAGCTAATGTATTTCTGGTCAAGCCACCGTGGCCTGTTGGAAAGTGGCGGAGGCTGCGTAGAGGGAAGAAGGATGGGGGGAGGGGTGGGAAAGCATGTATCTCCTGGTTACTGTGTGCTGTGTCTCCTGCTGGGAGCTCTGTGGAGTTGCCTTCCCTTACAATTCTCCACAGTCCTTGGTGGCTGAAGTCCAAGAAGGCAAGTACAGGTGGCAGTGAGCTGGTATCTCTCCAGCCGAGAGACCATGGCCCATTGGTAAGTGGCAGAGGCCTCATATAGAGAAGGGTGGGGGGCGGGGAAGCATGTAACCCTAGTTACCAGTTGCTGTGTCACCTGTTGGAAGCTCCATGAAGTTACCTCCCTGTATGTGTTCTTTGGTGGCTGTAGTTGAAGATGGCGAATCCAGCCACGTTAGCTGGTAGGGGACCTCTTTCTGCTCCATAGCTCTTCTCCTTCTCTGTTCTTTGTCATTTTTTTATTCTGTTAGGTGCTTGATCGAGTTCTTTATTCCTTCATTTGGTACTTCGGTTTCCAAGATTGACATTTGTATCTGTTTTACTTAGTTTTTTAGGTCTTTGCTACAGAGGGGTGGCATAGTGCTTCTGTCTATAGTGCCATGTTGGCTTAACCTGTCTCCCTTTCCTTTAGTTGGCCAGTGATACCTTACTCTTTCTTCTTGCCCTGTATCAAAACCTTTGCGATTGAAAGTGTTTTGGCAGACTTATTTAAAGTGAAATATAAATCTCTGATAAAAGAAAATATTACCTGTAAAAGCTCAAAGTGTGGGCATTCAGTGCACTATAATACAAAGGTGATTGGCAGAAGGTAGGTGGGTTCTCTCTCTCTATAAAGGGCTAAAAGGTAGCTTTATGGTCATGAATTTATACTATGGCTTTCAGCTTTGCAGAGACAGAAACTTGATTTTATCAGCACACTACAAATGGATCTGTACCTTAGGAACAGACACAAGGTCAGGGTCGTCTGGTTTGCATAATCAGCATATTCTCTCCTTAGACTTAGACATGTATGGGAAACTGACTTTTAAAGTTGTATTGTGAGCAGTGAATTACAGAAACTCAAACATGATGCTTTGACCATAGTTTGAATATTTTCAGGCATTTGACTAAAATGGCCTCCATCCTTATGATGGAGATAGCCTTGCCATTGGAACCATAGTTTTTGAAGTCTATTTGCTAAGACTCTCTCTCCTCTGGATAATTCTTCAAATGTGCTTTTTCCCACCGCAGAATTTTTGCACATAGAGTTTCCTCTCTCAGAAACATGCTTTTCAGGTTAACTCCTACTCATTCTGCAGATACCAATTGAAATGTTATAATTTTCCCTGATCCCTCAAACTAATACCTTTAATTATTCTCATAGCACCATTTACCTCTCCTTTGTCATACTTATTGTAATTGTAAATTACATTCATTTATATGATTATTTCACTATTATCTAATATCATTATCACCCCCATTAGAAGACAGACTCCATGAGGGCAGAAACTGTTTCCATTTTTCCTCAGTGTTCATATTCATAGTCTCTTGAGCAGTACCTGACACTTACTAAGTACTGAATAAATATTTGTTGAATAAATGATCATATGAGGTGTAGGGTACTGCTCTTATACCTCCATTTTGTTAGGGAACTTAGTGCACAGAGGTTAAGTGATTTGCTCAGGATTTCATAACCAGGAAGTGGCAAGCTGAGATTTGAGCTGCAGTAAGTCTGACTTGAAAGCCTGAGCCCTTTCACTAAAAATTTCATAGCATTCTCTTTTATCGATACTTGTTTCAGAGCTGTTTTCTTTCATCGACATGATTCCTGAAACAGTGTAAAGTCTATGATCTTACCCCCCAATTCCATACTGCCCCTTAAATACCTTAAAGCAATTTCACTATTTACTAAACCCCCCCAATTCCATACCACCCTTAAAGCAATTTCACTATTTACTAAGGTTGGAGTTTCTAGTTCATTACTTAGTTCTAGTTAATGAAAAGTTTTTGTTGTATTTACTTAAATCTGCATTTTTTCTACATACAGGAAGTAACAAAAGTCTTTTTTATGAGATGGCCTTTCAGATACATAGGAACTTAATCATCTATCCCGTTTTCTTTAGATTATTATCCTAGTCATCCAGTTTGTCGGTGTGCTGCTTAGAATGTGATAAGAAAGGTGTTGGATGTTTTACCCTCAGATGTGATCTCACTTTGAAAGAATTCAAAGAAAGCCTGACCTAATATTATCTAGATGCTTTATTTCTTATTATATCCTGAGAAAACTTTTTGGAGGAACTGCATCATGGTCAGTTTGGTTGTTACATTACAATATCTGGATTTTTTCACATAAATTTCAGTTGCATATGTATCTTAACAGGTGGTATTATTTAACTTTTTATTGAATAACTTACATGTAGGAAAGTGCATACATCATAAATATGCAGTTTGGTGGATTATCATAAAATGAATACCAAAAACCTGTTGCCATTGAGATGATTCCAACTCATAATGACCCTATAGGATAGAGTAGAACTGCTGCATAGGGTTTTCTAGGCAGTAATCTTTACAGGAGCAGATCGCTAAGCCTTTTCTCCTGTAGAGTGGCTGGTGTGTTCGAACCGCCAGCCTTTCAGTTAGTAGCCAAGTGCTTAACCATTTTGCAACCAGAGCCCTCTCCCAAAATGAATACACTCCTGTAACCACCTCCCAGATCAAAAAATAGAATGTTTCCTGTACCCCTGAAATCCCTTCAGGCCTCTTCCCACTCTTTACCCACCTACTCATCTCCCCGCAGACAGCTACTAGACTACTAACATCATAGGCAAAACTAACCTATCTTTGAACTTTATATAAATGTAGTCATATAGACTATATTTTTTTGTGTTTGGCTTCTTTCATCAGGATTATATTTGTGAGAGTCTTCTTGTTGCATTTTGTAGTTGTATATTTTTACACAAAAAGATTTAATTTTTATATTTGAGAACTATTAATTAACCTGCTTATGATGTATTGTTTTTTAAAAAGCAGCTAATATTCATGTAGTGCTTTGTAGTTTGCAAAGTGTATTTCCATAATCCTCATAAATTTTTTTAAAGTTTGGCCTTCAGCACATCAGTGCTCTATTAGATTAAAAAACTACTAATAGCAGAGAAGCTGATAATGTTTTTCTTGTATTATCTCTGCTAAATAAAAATTTTTTAAAAAAACTAAATATTTCAATAAGATAGTACTTGAAATGTTCTCAGTCTTGTAATTAGAATTAACTATTAAATTATACTTGTTTTCACGATCATATTTTGTTTCCTGTGTGAAATTTTATAAATAAAATCATTATTGAAGTTAGGCCTATCCACATTGTGCACGTAGTATAATGGGAAGCACTGTCTCAGAAGTTAGATGTGGATTCCAGCCTAACTTTTTACTTACTGAACTGGCCTTAAGAAAGTAACATAATTACTTTAGGGCTTACTTCATCTCTAAAATAACTGATGTTGTAAGAGATGATCTTTTGAGGTTCTTTCCAGCTCTGGGAATATTTGTTTTTATGATTGAAATCTGGGAGCATTCCCTTTTTGTTGTTTTTGTTAATGAAATTTTCAATAAACAGAATACACGCCACCTAGAGGGCAGAAGGAGTTTTTACAGTCGATTAACCCAAACATGACCCTTCAGTTAGATGCTTTGGTGCGTGTTGTTGTTGTTGTTAGGTGTCATCGAGTCGGTTCCGACTCAAAGCCACTCTGTATACAATAAAACAAATCACTGCCCAATCCTGTGCCATCCTCACAGTCGTTGCTATGCTTGAGTCCATCATTGCAGCCATTGTGTCAGTCTATCTCATTGAGGGTGTTCCTCTCTTTCAGTGACCCTCTACTTTGGTGCATAGAATGGCCTTAGTATGGTGTTTGTAGTACCTGGGAATGTTTTGAGAGATATTCACAGACGTCTTGAACTACCTAGAAATATTTTTATAGTTACTGATGGTGGTGTTGTGGGAATGAGTTTTCAAGGTGTTCTTAATAGAGGAAGTTTTTTTTAGGAAGACACTTTGCAACTCACCCATTTCTATTATTATACTGTGCATTCTAAGACTTAAGGAATATGTGCAGCATCTCTTCCTTTTTTCTAGTCTTCCCTTTTCTCACTAGTTATACTCCTGATTAATTTATTCCATTCTGAAGTCTCATGAATGCAGAATGAAACAAAACAAAGATGTATTTCATTTTTAAAAATACTTACCAGGCTATATGGAATCATTAATACATAATCTATTTTCTAAAATTATAATGGGTAATTCAGTAACTTCAGTCTCTTCCTCCCAGTTACTGAAACCAAATCTTCAGTTGTTGCAAGAAAGGGAAATTTAGTTCCTAGGTTCTAGACTTGGAACCTATTCTTTTAATTATGAAATTAAAAGGCTGGAATAATGTTGCATTTTATTCATATAATAATGTATAATGGTTTTTTTAGTTGGGAGAAGGAGAGAAATTGGTGAGAGCTCTTTTTGCCGTGGCTCGAGAACTTCAACCTTCTATCATTTTTATAGGTAAGAGCATGTTTTCTTCTAAGTTAGTTGAACAGTCATGAAATTCCACTCTCCAAATATGAGAAGTATGATAGGAAAGATTATTCAGAAGAAAAAATTTTTTTAAAGAAGGTTAAGCTTAAAGATTGTCTAATAAATTAAGTAGGGCCCACTATATTAACAACTTATAGTGAACTGGATTAAAATGACTCACACAGCTTGGCCTTTAATAAAAGTTTTATGCTTGTATTTCTTCTAGATGAAGTTGACAGCCTTTTGTGTGAAAGAAGAGAAGGAGAACATGATGCTAGTAGACGTCTAAAAACTGAATTTCTAATAGAATTCGATGGTGTAGGTGTTGATTTTTTTTAATGTGGTAGTATTTGTGTGTGTGTGTGTGTGTGTGTGTGTGTATACATGAAGCAAGCCTGATTTTTTTATGTATATGTATGTATGTATATATATATATATATGTCCCTGCTAAATGACCAAAATTAGAAATATAAATATATTTTTCTTTGTTGTTACTTTTTCTAAAAGTATTGAAAATATTTTTTTTGGCTTATAGGTGCAAACTGCTGGAGATGACAGAGTACTTGTAATGGGTGCAACTAACAGACCACAAGAGCTTGACGAGGCTGTTCTCAGGTAGGGAGATTTATGTGAACACACACACGGTAATTACAGATATATTTACTCGTGTGTTTATCTCATCTTTTTTTTTATTTCCTTCACTCTCAGTTTTAAGACTAAATTCATTATTTTTCTCTACATACTATCCTCTGGCCTCTTGTTACCAACTAAATAAGGTTTTTGAGGAAAGGGCCAGCGTATCGAGAGAACTAGTCTTCACTTTGTGATTTTCGGCAAATTGCTCAATTCTTTTGGGTTAGATTAAATTATCTTTAAACTCCAAAACTGATTCTTACCCTCTTTTACTGGGCCTCATGAGAAGCTGATAAAGGCAGGGCTCATGAGAACTCTGTTCTCTGTTCTTGCACGTTTGAACAAATTCATTGCCTTCATATTAGGAGGAAAGTTTGATTCAGTATAATATTCCTGGGCTTCCCTTTCTTTGCCTGAGGAATTTATAGCATTGCATCATTGTTTCTAGGATTGTACATTCCAGTGAAAAAGTCTGAACCAGTCTGATTTTTTCTTTTGCATTTATAGCTCATTTGAATTTTTATTTATTATTTACTGGATAGAGTTTTTAACCATTGAAGTCCAGTTATTTGATGAATATGTTGATTGACTTGTATTTGTTTTTGAAGGATTTTATTGTATCTTTAAATTGATAGTTTGGAAACTCCTTTATTTTCGAAAGGTTGTTTTGAATACTCTTTAATATTTTTTCCTAGGCCATATGGATTTTTTTCTTTAGCATACAAATTATGCAATATGTTGGACCTTTTTTGTCTTCTGTGTCTGTGAATTTCTTTCTAATCCTTTTTAAATCCTGTATCTTTATTGTTTTGTTTTCTGTTTTCCTAAGCCTGTCATCCTTATTTCTTACTTGGGTAGTATCTCATCTCCCTCTGCTTCTTTTGTTTGTAACCTTTGTTTCTGTTGTGGTTTTATTTGTCTTTTTTATTACCTTTCCTGATCTCTGCTGTCCCATTTTTTCATCTTCTATTGTCTTATTTCTTTGAGACTTTGTATGTCATTTCCTTGAGCTTTTATATCTCATTGAACTCTTGTTTCACAGGAGACTTTTTTTTTTGTTCAGTTCTTTTATTTCATGGTCATAATTTTAATTTGCGTTATGACAAAATCTTTTTTTGCATGTCCACCATTTTATCTACTTTGTTTACTGTTTTCTTCTCCCTTTCCCCCCTTTTTTTGATAGTTGTTTAAATCAGTCTTGTGCCTTTTCCTTTTTTACTTATTTTTTGTATTTGAATAATGGGAATTTTCTTGGAAAATCTATTTTTGGAAGGGGTAGAAAAGTAAGATACTGAGCAGATATCTTGAGTTACAGTGTCCCGTGTCTACCTTGGACTAATAGGCAGCCTCCCTGACTCATAGTGAAACCCTGTCTGATAAGAAAGGGTATATGTGTATCTTCTTCAGCTAAGATAAACTGGTTACTGCAGGACCACTTGACATCTTGCCAGACTGATAGATGCCTTCTTACAATGATGACTTTTTTTGAGTTTCTTTGTTCAGTCTAGCCTTTCTTGCCATTCCTATGCTATTACCAGAAGAGCCAGGCCTCCCATGCTTGTTTAAATGTGGGGAATGTTGCTTTTTTTTACTCTTCAGGATATGTTGTCTCTGTCTCCTTTGGAAAACTCTGAGCACTGCCAGCTATGCCTGCGATCTATAGTGGCAGACCTTGTGTGTATATTCCTTTACTGGGATAATTTTCACTGCCCTAAGTAGTCCTTCTTCATATATTTTAGTTCTGAGCTGTAAATGTTACCTAACTGGTTGATGATGAAGGTTACATTTCTGTTCTCCTTGTTGTTTTTGGTTGTTTTCAGATACAAGACAACAGAGGTCTTTTTATTCTACATTTTATATCAGAAATTTTGTTTTAAAGTGTTCTTCCTATTAAAAACACATACACACAAGTGATTAATTCTGACACTATTAAGTATTTTTAAACATTAACTAGATTTTACAATAAAAAAAAAAAAAGAGTTCAGACCTAGAAACAACAAAAACCATTAACTAGGCAAGTTTTTAAAAGAGTACTGCTAAAATATTTTTTGCTTAAAGCCTGTTTCTTGTCATCTGCTACTTGAGCTGAGTTAGTTACCTTTAAATGCAAAATTGTATTTCTTAAACTCCTTGAATCTGTTTTTTTTAGACGTTTCATCAAACGGGTATATGTGTCTTTACCAAATGAGGAGGTATGTACCTTTGTTAGATTTTTTTTTTTTTTTAAGCAGAAACAAGAAATACCATCTTGACAATTAAATCTTCCAATCCATGGTGTAGCCACTTTAGAAGACAGTTTGACAGTTTCTTAAAAAGATAAAAATAAACTTACACAGCAGTTTCACTCCTAAGAATCTACCCAAGGGAAATGAAAACATATGTCCACAAAAAGACATGTATAAGAAATTTCATAACAGCATTATTAATAATAGCTCAAAATTGGAAACAATCTAAAATGTTCATCAATTGGTGAATGGATAAACAAATGTTGTTAGGTGCCATCACATTGATTCTGACTCATAGTGGCCCTGTGTACAACAGAAGGAAACACTGCCCGGTCCTGCCCCATCCTCACAATCATTGTTATGTTTAAGCCCATTGTTGCAGCCACTGTGTTTAATGGAATACTATTTAGTAATGAAAAGGAATGAGCTACTTATACATGCTTTAACATAGATGAACCCCCAAAATATTACACTAAGTGAAAGAAGCCAGATGCAGAAGGTTACATATCATATGATTACATTTATATGAAGTGTCCAGAAAGGGCAAATTATAAAGTAGAGCAGTGGTTTCCTAGGATTGTATATTATTGGAAGGGCAATTAACTGCAAACAGGAATGGGTGAACTTTTCGGGTAATAGAAATATTTTAATACTAGATGGTAATGGTTGCACAATTCTGTAAATTTATTAAAAGTCATTGAATTATGCACTTACAGTGGGTGAATTTCATGGCATATGAATTCATATCTCTATAAAACTTTTTAAAAAAGTGTTATCAAACTTGGATCGACATCCTTGATAATAACAGTAGCCACTTCCATAGCACTTTACTTAGTTTATCTTGCTTAATGCTCTCAGGAACTTTCAAAATACGGGTATTTTTTAACCCCATTTAACAAACAGAGGAGCTGAGGCTCGAAAAGGTAGAATGATGTGTGTAAGATCATTCAGCTAGTAAGTGACAGTGAGAATTTGAACTTGATTCCAAAATCCATTAAGCTGTATCAACTTCAATAAATAAGTTTCATGATTGTGCAAAATGAATGAATATATATATAAAACATTCAAATTACTATTTATCCCTGTACTTGTTAGTTTAATATAAATATCAATCATTAACAGCACCAATAGCCTAGGAAGAAGGAACAAAACAACTTTACTAGTGGTTAGTTTTCTTCACTTTTCTTGTAAGCTTTTTAGTTTTTAAAGCCAGTTTGTGTAATTGGTTGACAACTTTTGTTAGTAAACAAGACACATGATAGTCCTACTTCTTACTTGGTGTTGGTGGGCACATTGAGTTGGAAACCCTAACAGGGCAGAAAGTATGTCATTTACCTTTGAATTTCCCATAACACCCAACCCAATTGTCCTTTTTCCAGGCCTCTTCAGCTTTGAGCTTTTTAAATGCCCAGTCATTGATACTTGCTGAAAAGCAATGATGACTTTTTATAGAAAGATTTTTTTTTTGATATATTTATTATTAAGCTAATTCTTAGGACTGATAATTCTTTGATATTTCTTTTCAGACAAGACTACTTTTACTTAAAAATCTGTTATGTAAACAAGGAAGCCCATTGACCCAAAAAGAACTAGCACAACTTGCTAGGTGAGTAATTTATCTTACAGCCTTTTTTTTGGTAAAGAATTCTTCTTCCTTTTTTTTTTTTTTTTTAAAGTAAGCTGAAGTATAAAGTGAGTAATTTATTAGAAAGTAATAAATTTATTTGTTATTGTTGTCTCATCTTCCAGCACATTTATTTTCTTTTTTACCTCTTATTCGTATATACATGGTATCTATATTTCAATTTCTAGGTCTTCCTTAAGATATGACCTAAATATCTAGAGATGATACTGTAATTTTTTTTGTAAATTTATTAAAACTTATAAGTGGTTTTTAAAATTTAAAACAGCTCTTATCTTCTCACAACAATGCATATGTTTTCATATAAACATTCTTTTGTATTGTGCATAATTTTTAACTAATACATTTTATACTTTTTTTTATTAGCAATGTACTTAAGTAGAAACCGACTGAACATAGGAGATGCACTCTTGAATTTTAGTCATTGAAGAAGCTCGTAATTTAAAATATTTATGAAATATGTGAGTAGCTAATAATTTTAGTAAGAACCCTGAGTTCTCAGATATCTGTGAGAAAAGAACAAATTACTTGGAAAAATTGAGGTTGCTCTGTGTCATTCCAAGGAAGAATTCTGCTAGTAATGTTTGATCTGTGTAGTTGTTGAACATGACACATGATGAATAAATGCTTCTTTTCATGTTTTATTTCCCTCTTCTCCTTTGCCTCCCTGGTTCTTAGTTCCTTTTGATAATCTGTTGGCTGTCCAGGACTCTCCACTGTGGCATTCTATTCAGATGCACCTCTTTTTGCCAATATCTTACACCCTAGACCCTTCCTTCATTCTGTCCTACATCTGAAGAAATCTACCTTGTTTGGCCCTTATTCAGCCAAGGCAGTGCTCTTTGCCAGTATGAAAACTAATTAATTTATAGAGAAATAATTGTGGTTATGCAGCAGCATGTTACCAATGGCTTATAGATGTTACCTTTCCAGGCGACATGTTTACAATTTAACAGAGCCTTCTGGAGACAGTATCCCTAAAGGAATGGTTTTAATGATGAAAATTGGAGGCATTATAAAGAGCCAGCAGTGGTCTCTTCTGTTTTTGGCAAGTGGGCCTTTTCTTTGCCCTTAAAATCAAACTTACAGCAAGCTGTTTGCTTGCTGACAAACGCAAACTAATTTTTCTCTTCCTACATGGAGATTTTAAATCTGCAAAGATGAAAATAATTTGCTATTTCTTCCTTCCCTTTCCTAGAATGACTGATGGATACTCAGGAAGTGATCTCACAGCTTTGGCAAAAGATGCAGCACTGGGGCCTATCCGAGGTAGGTGTACAAGAGCTTGAAATATTTACAACTATTTATTACAGTACTTTAGACATTTAAATCCCTACTGAGAGATCTTTTTTATTAGTAGTAGGAAAGCAGTCAAGCTGTATCACTGGAAAACCTGGTACAAAGTAGTTTCTATACTAACCAGAAAAAAACAAACCCGTTGGCCATTGAGTCGATTCTGACTCATAGTGACCCTGTTGGACAGAGTAGAACTGCCCTATAGGGTTTCCAAAGCTGTAAATCTTTCTGGAAGCAGACTGCTACATCTTTCTCCTGAAAGCGGCTGGTGGGTTTGAACCACTGACCTTTTGGTTAAGCAGCTGAGTGCCTTAACCACTGTGCCGCGAGGGATCCTAGTTTCTATACGAGGGGCCAGCAAACTTTTTCTGGGCCACATGGTTTCTGCTGCTGCTACTTCTCCCCTCCTCCTCCCTCGCTTTCCTCTCTTTCCTTTTTCTTCATCACAACCCTTTAAAAATGTAAAAACCATTCTTAGCTTGCAGACTGTATAAGACCAGGCCATGAGCTGGTGGCTCATGACCCCTGTTCTGTGCAACAGAGTTCTACTTGATAATAGGTAAGCAGCAGAAAACTCAAAGGAGGAGAAAACTCTTTTTTAAATAAGCAGAAAATAATTATAAAGGGAAATGTTCTTATCTGTTTTCTGACTGTCTTCATTTCAGTATTCTAATTTGACTTGAAATTAAATATGTCCAAGGGAACTTATAAATTTTTTTCTTTTAATATTGTATGTTATCTTTCAAGGAATTGCAGGAGAATATATCCTTCATTGCTATGCTTTGATTGAAGGTAATTCGTTGATCCTGAAATACCATGATTGATTATTTTTAAGTTCTTCTTGTTAGGTGCCATCAAGTTGCTTCCAACTTATAGCGACCCTATAGGACAGAGTAGAACTGCCCCATGGGGTTTCCAAGGAGTGGCTGGTTGATTTGAATTGCCGACCTTTTAATTAGCAGCTGGTTAGCTGCAGAGCTGTTAACCACTACGCCACTAGGGCTCCATATTAGGTTAGATTAAATGTCGACATCATCTTAGAGTAGATTTTCTCAGCTACTTTTCTACCATCAGCATGAGGAATGAATAGATGATAATAATTCCTGAGAAGGTATTGAGTTGTAGTGTCAGGAATCGCCTAAATCCATGAGGGATGAGAATCAGAATTAACACAAAGCTGGTTCCTCTGAGGTGGAGGTCAGACATACCTCCACTCTCCAACTTCTTCAGCATTTCTAACACTAACTGTCCCTCCCACAGCATTCTCTACTTCTCTGTTGGGTTTGATAATTCATTGCAGTAGCCACACACAACTCAAAGACCATACGTACAGTTATAGGGTTTATTAGAGAAGTAATAGGCTACAACTTGGAATCAGGATCAACTGGGAAGTAACAGGAACAACTCTGGATCAGGTTCAGGAAGCACATAGGTGAGGTTTGGAAGGCTCACCTAAGGTGAAGAGCATATCCCTCCCTTCTTCGGTACAGAACAGCTTCCAACCAAGACAGCTCTCTCAGGCATTTTTCAGCCATGCTAGTAGGCCTGTTTCTCAGCCGTGCTAGTAGGCAGGCCCTTCTCCTGCCGGTGCACGGGCCCCTCTCAGCTGCGCAGGCCCCTCTGCCTTTGGCCTCTTCACTGCTGGTATTTCTGCTGTTAACTGACCGAGCTCATAGCCAGTGTAACAGCTTGTTCAGCTGCTGTCCTCCTAGCAGCTTTCTGCTGTCACCCCCAGCTCTGCCAGAGGGTCCATTCCAGGTCTCTCACTGCTTCAGTGTTACAGTCCTTGACCCATATTACAGCTCTTTTAGGAGGTTTCCCACTTCCTCTCTCTCTGCTTCTTTTCTCTCAGTGCTTATAAAAATCTCTGTGGGGTTGACTGCTTATATAAAGCAAACTCCTTGTCAGTTTTAAGGCATGGCCATCCCAGCAGGACCACAAACCTGCCAGTCCTGTCAGTGAACCGCAAGTCACTCAGTCCTATTGGGTGGATTTTCAAGCCACTATTTGCATAGTAAATTGACCAGTCCCTTGCAGGGTACGTAAAATAGACCAGTCAGAGGGCAGAATGTGTTCCAGGGCTGGAGAAAAGTATCAAATCATCAAGTTGTTTACAGCTTACCCAGGAAATGTCAAGCAACCCAGGAAATCCCCTAGGCAAAAGTAATAAACCCTCTGGGGTAGAAAACAACATGGGAGCCTTACCCCCTGCCCAAAGAACTAGGGCAAAAGTAACTCCGTGGGGATAGCTCCCAATCTGTTTTTCCAAAGAACCTAGACAAAAGGCTACATAAAGGAACCCATTTCTCCACAAGTATGTACGCATATTACTGGTAGTGATGATAAAATAGAACATGGAGCATGCAACCTCCAGAAAACTAATTATAATTTTTTCCTCACTCTCTCACTAAAGAAACTATAGCTGAATGCAGTCGAATGAGAAAGATGGTATCATAGTTTGTACTGTAATTCATGTTACAAGTCTACATTATATACACACTTTGTGTTTTAGTTGTTAAAAATTACTTCCAACACACCTCCCACAGTGAAACAAAGTAGGGTAGTGATTAAGAGCTATTGCTTTGGAGAGTAATAAATGCAACCTTGAGAACAGATTTTTGAAACTATGAATAAAGCATTTTAGTCAACCCTCCTTGCTACCAGAGGCATGAAATCTTGTTCAGATAGTGAACACAGAAATAGTAGCTAATGTATAAATAGTTTTTTTTAAAGAACATTTTAGCTATTATTTTGAAGCAGACAAAAGTTGTTGGTTTAAAAAATAATGCCTTTTGTAAAGAACAGTTTGCATTCTTTTCATCTCACTCTTAAATTTGTAAACTCTTATTATACTCAAGCAAGATGCAAAGAATTTGAATGCCTCCCAGTTACTAATAACAAGGAATGTTATTCTAAATATTTACAATTGTGTGTGCTCTTAATATTAATGTGTGGTTTCTTTTAATATAATGGTTTTATCAAAATGATTTTCATATAATGATTTATATAATTTATATTATTTACTTTTAGATTACTGTACTTGGTTTTGCTCTTTGACAAAAAACTTCAAAATCATTTTTTAAAAAAGTACCTGATTTCTATATTTTACAGAACTGAAGCCGGAACAGGTGAAGAATATGTCTGCCAGTGAGGTATTACAATTTTACAATGATCTTTTCTTAGTTTTGGTCCTCTATATTACAGAAGTGTTTTATCTTTTGTCTAGATTCTTCCAGTTTATTATTTGATTAGAAACTAGAAACAACTTTACTTCATTCAAAATATGGAAATGTATAAAATTATAGTCTCTTATGTTCTTTGGTAATGGACAGAAAATATTTTACGTAGTCATTAAGTCATTTTCTATCATCACATTATGTAAATTACTAAATAAAAGAAAATTATCAGAAACTTAAGAATTTTATACATTATGAAAGTAAATGTCAGGGGTCTCTACAAGGACTCAACAGAACTCAGAAAAGCTAATATACTCACAGTTAGGTTTATTACAGCAAAAAGGGTAGCGATTAAATCAGCAAAGAAGAAGGAGCATAGAGCAGAGTCCAGGGGATGCCAGGCGCAAGCCTCTAGTTCTCTCCTGGTTGAGTTGTATGGACAGCGCTTAGTTTTCCCAGTAACAGTATGTGACAACATAGACAAAGTAATGCTAACCAAGGAAGCTAACCCGAGACTTGGTATCCTGGGTTTTTATTGGAGGTCAGTCACACAGGCATGGAGCACCTGCATGAAGTTAAACTGATAACATGTAGCCCAAGGCCACCACCATAAATCACATTGTTAGCGTAAACTACCTGGCATGGCACAAGGCCCCACATAAGCAAAGCTATTCTTATCAGGCAGGATATGCTAAGAGCTTAGAGGTTATCTCCTAGAAACCAGTCAAGGGCCATACATTTCTTTGAAGGGTACAAGGCATAAACAACCTGGGCTGGCTGAGTTAGTCCTTAACTGAACACAGGTTAACCCCATTATGCTTTATTTTGTTACTTTTTCAATAGTGTTTATTTTTTTCCTCTTTATACAAGTAACACACTTACCATTGTAATTTATTACATTATCTTAATATGGAAGATCCTCGTAAGAGATTTTGAAACATTTCTTTTGAAAACAATTATAAGCAAAATATGTGAGCAAACTTTTGAAGAAATCAGGCTTCAATTATATTTGTAACTTATCTGCCAGACGTGTTTTTTACTGGCCAAGTTATAACAGCTATTCAGGAGACAGTGACTGGTAGCGTATAGAATGGGTAGGTTCAGATACAAAGTGGCAGTCTTATATCTTCAGGCATCAGAGTAAACTTGTGGTTTTCTGATTCAAGCATCTTGTGCATTTTGGTTAACAACTACATTACTCAAAAAGCCCTCATGTTTCTTGTAACCTCCCTCCAATTTTAATAGTGTAGTTTACCTAGAGTGTGCATGATGTGAATGAGACTTAGGAATAGAGAATTTGATTCTTATATGTAGGTGCTTGTTTGGTCTTTTCTTTCTTTCCTGTCTTTTTAATGACCTCTTGATTTCTTCATGTATGATGTACTTGATGTCATTTCATAACTCGTCTGGTCTTTGATCAGTGTTCAGGGCATCAAATCTATTCTTGAGGTGGTCTCTAAATTCAGGTGGGATATAGTCAAGGTTGTATTTTGATTCTTGTGGACTTCCTCTAATTTTCTTCGGCTTCAACTTGCATATGAGCAGTCATGGTCTGTTCTGCAGTCAGCCCCTGGCCTTGTTCTGACTGATGATATTGAGCTTCTCCGTTGTCTCTTTCCACAGTTGTAGTTGATTTGATTCTTGTGTATTCCATCTGGCAAGGTCCATGTGTATAGTTGCCGTTTATGTTGTTGAAAAAACTATTTGCAATAAAGAAGTCTTGTAAAATTCTGTCATGCCATCTCCAGCATTGTTTCTATCACCAAGGCCATATTTTGCATCTACTGATCCTTCTTTGTTTTCAGCTTTTGCATTCCCATCACCAGTAATTATCAATACATCTTGATTGCCTGTTTGATCAATTTCAGACTGCAGAAGTTGGTAAAAATCTTTAATTTCTTCGTCTTTAACATTAGTAGTTGGTGTATAAATTTGAATAATAGTTGTATTAACTGGTCTTCGTTGTAGACGTATGGTTATTATCCTATCACTGACAGCATTGTACTTCAGGATAGATCTTGAAATGTTCTTTTTGACAATGAATATGATAGCATTCCTCTTCAATTTGTCACTCCTGGCATAGGAGACCATATGATTATCCAATTCAAAATGGCCAGTATCAGTCCATTTCAGCTCACTAATGCCTAGGATATATTGATCTTTACGTGTTCCATTTCATTTTGACAACTTCCAGTTTTCCTAGTCATACTTCGTACATTCCATGTTCTGATTATTAATGGATGTTTGCAGCTGTTTCTTCTCATATTGAGTTGTGCCACCTCATCAAATGAAGGCCTCAAAAAGCCTTACTCCATCCATTAATGTTGACTCTACTTTGAGGAGGTTGCATTTTCCCAGTCGTATTTTGGGTGCCTTCCAACCTGAGGGGCTCATCTTCCAGCACTATACCAGTGTTTTGCTGCTATTCATAAGGTTTTCACTGGCCAATTTTTTTTTCAGAAGTAGACTGCCAGGTCCTTCATCCTAGTCTGTCTTAGTCTGGAAGCTCCGCCGAAACCTATCCACCATGGTTGACCCTGCTGGTATTTGAAATACTGGTGACATACATCATCACAGCAACACACAAGCCACTGCAGTACAACAAATTGACAGACCAAAATGGGTATCAGGAAAGACTCTGAAACTTGCTTTTGAGCGTAGAGTGGCTAAAGTGAACAGAAGAAATGATGAAGTAAAATAGCTGAACAGAAGATTTCAAAGGGTGGCTTGAGAAGGCAAAGTATTATAATGAAATGTGCAAAGACCTGGAGTTAGAAAACCAAAAGGGAAGAACACACTTGACATTTCTCAAGCTGAAAGAACTGAAGAAAAAATTTAAGCCTGAAGTTGCAATATTGAGGGATTCTACGGGCAGAATACTGAACCACACAGGAAGCGTCAAAAGAAGGTGAAAGGAATATACAGAGTCACTTTTCCAAAAAGAATTAGTCAACATTCAACCATTTCAGGAGGTAGCATATGCTCAAGAACCGATGGTATTGAAGGAAGGAAGACCAAGCTGTACTAAAGGCATTGGTGAAAAACAAGACTCCAGGAATTGATGGAATAGCAGTTGAGATGTTTCAACAAATGGATGCAATGCTGGAAGCACTCACTTGTTATGCCAAGAAATTTGTAAGACAGCCACCTGGATAACCGGCTGGAAGAGATCCATATTTGTGCCCATTCCAAAGAACGGTGATCCGACATAATGAGGAAATTATCCAACAGTATCATTAATATCATACACAAGTAAAATTTTGCTGAAGATCATTCAATAGTGGTTGCAGCGTACATCGACGGGGAACTGCGGAAGTTCCAGTTGGATTCAGAAGAAGTCATGGAACGAGGGATATCATTGCTGATGGCAGGTGGATCTTGGCTAAAAGCAGAGAAAACCAGAAAGATGTTTCCATGTGTTTTATTGACTATACAATGTCATTTGACTGTGTGCATCATAAGAAATTATGAATAACATTGTGAAGAATGGGAATTCCAGAACACTTAATTGTGCTCATGCAGAACCTGTACATAGACCAAGAGGCAGTTGTGCACACAGAACAAGGGGATACTGCCTGGTTTAAAGTCAGGAAAGGTGTGCGTCAGGGTTATCTCCTTTCACCATATTTATTCAATTTGTATGCTGAGCAAATAATCCAAGAAGCTAGACTGTATGTAGAAGAACATGGCATCAGGATTGGAGGAGACTCCTTAACAGCCTGTGATATGCAGATGACACAACCTTCCTTGCTGAAAGTGAAGAGGACTTGAAGCACTTACTGATGAAGGTAAAGACTACAGCCTTCAATATGGATTATACCTCAACGTAAAGAAAACAGAAATCCTCACAACTGAACCAGTAAGTAACATGATAAATGGAAGAAAGATTGAAGTTGTCAAGGATTTCATTTTACTTGGATTCACAATCAATGCCCATTGAAGCGACAGTCAAGAAATCAGAGGACGTATTGCATTGAGCAGATCTGCTGCAAAAGATGTCTTTAAAGTGTTAAAAAGCAAAGATGTCACTTTGGGGACTAAGGTGCACCTGACCCAAGCCATGGTATTTTCAGTTGCCTCATATGTGTGCAAAAGCTGGCAAGTGAATTAAGGAAGACCAAAGAAGAGTTGACACCTTTGAATTGTGGTGTTGGTGAAGAATATTGAATATACCATGGACTGCCAGAAGAACAAACAAATTTATCTTGGAAGAAGTACAGCCAGAGTTCTCCCTGGAAGCAAGGAGGGCGAGACTTCATCTCACATACTTTGGACATGTTATCGGGATGGACCAGTCTCCTGGACAAGGACATCATGCTTGGTAAAGTAGAGGATTAGTGAAAAAGAGGAAGATCCTCAATGAGATGGATTGACATGGTGGCTTCAACAGTGGGCTCAAGCATAGCAGTGATTGTGAGGATGGCAAAGGACTGGGCAGTGTTTCGTTCTTTTGTACATGGGGTTGCTGTGAATCAAACGATTCGATGGCACTGAGCAACTTTGGTGCTTAGCTACCATTACTTTTAAAATTCATGTTTAAAGTATAAGTTGTAGTTCTCTTTTATCTGATTCTTATCTTCAGTTTTAATTTCACATTATTCTAATTCTGTTTGTATATATATATTTGTATATGTATATATACACACACAGGTACTATGTAGTTTTGTTTCTCTGAAGTGTCTTGTGTGTTTTCAGTACAGTCATACATTGCTTAACATCCATGATATGTTCTGTGATGTTGGGCATTATGTGAATTGGACATTGTGTGAACACTGTATTATATACAGGCTATTATATACAGGCTGTCCCCAGGTTCGAACACCATATCTTATACAGGCGGTCCCTGAGGTATGAAAGTCTGATTTATGGACTGCTTATACTTAAGAACCTATTATATAAAAATTTTGAATTAACACACACACACTACTTTGTGACACTGCTGCTGTCACCAGCGCTGGTTCTGCTGTGTTTAAAAGCCATGATACACTTGATGGTAATAGTTCTCTGATCGGGATTTCTGAACTTTGTGTTAATATTATAGGACTACAGACCTGTATGTTGTCTGTTGCTGGACAGGATGTTACACAGCACACAACTTTACTAAAATTTATCAACAAAATCCCATAAATATTTTTTAGATGTTCTTATACTCATAGAATAAACCTAGTATTAAATTAGTGTATGAGATAGTAAGCATTGTACATGACTTATTTCTCTTTCACTGACTTTTTGGTCAGCAACCAAGAGCTTAACCACTGCGCCACCAGCTGCTCTGTAGGAGAAAGATGTGGCAGTCTGCTTCCGTAAAGATTACAGCTTAGGAATTCCTTTGGGGCAGTTCTACTATGTCCTGTAGGGTCACTATGAGTCAGAATCGACTTGATGGCAGTGGGTTATTTCTCTGCACACAACATTCTCTCACTTTGGATCAGGGCAGATAAACTTGATAACTCATGTACTTTGGCCTCCTAGATTTAAAGTTGAAGAAAGATTCATTTGTGTCCCATTTTGGGGCCTCTGTGTTTTTCCCTTGGGAAGACCATACGGAATAAGGTGAATTATTCAAGGCAATAATCAGCTACATGAGATAAAACCACCAAGTGGCAAATGAATTTCAGCAAGAAGTAGTTTGCAAATTCCTAGTCTATTTAAAAGACAAAATCCACTCAGCTCCAGGTGTTCAAGTATTCTACTCTGTCTCAAAGTCCAAGGTCATGGCTTTTCCTAGGAGGATCAATTAGGAGGGCCTGATAAATGGAATTATATATCCATTTGTACCTATAAATGGAATTATAGATCTTATAATAGTTTTACAGAAGCAAATGGGTGGTTGGTTAGGGAATATTGGAAGTTCTTTGGAATCTGCCCATCATTACTTTATGAGAAAAGAAACCTGTTTCCCTTTGCTGGTGGCTCTGTTAGCCTTGTGTGTATAAGTATATTTTACCCATCCTGAGAATATACACACAATTAAAATTGAACAACATTTTTCTTCAATGAATAAAGTCAGCCTAAAGATAATTTCTGTTTACTTAAAATAAAGAAATTTTAAGTCCGTATCCTTTTTTTAAGAACCATTGTGGACTCATGGCTTTAAAACAAGGTAATTCTGTTGTATTAGTTATCTATTACTGCATAACAGATTATCCCAAAATTAACAGATTAAAAACAACAGACGTTATTGCTGGTTGGAGTGTAAAATGTTGTATCCCCTCTGGGTAAGTTTGGTGGTTCCTCGAAAAGCTAAACATAGGATTATGATATGACCCAACACTTCCACTCCTAGGTATATACCCAAAAGAATCGAAAGCCAGGTTGCAGTTACTTGTATACTATCGTTCATAACCAAAAGGTGGAAACAACCTAAATGTCCATCAACAGATGAATGGATAAACAAAATGTGGTATGTACATACAGTGGAATATTACTCAGCCTTAAAGAGAAATGAAGTCCTGATAACATGCTTGCTACAACAGGGATGAACCTTGGAAATAGTATGTTGAGTGAAATAAGTCAGACACAAAAGGACAAATATTTTATGATCCCACTTATATGAAATATCTATACTTGGCAAATGTATAGAGACCAAAGTTTATTAGTCGTTACCAGAGGTGGGAGGGAGGGATAATGGGGGAGTCTTCACTTAAACGTCACTGAGTTTCTGTTAAAGGTAGTGGAAAATTTTGGAAATGGTTAGTGGTGATGGTTGCACTTGATGAATGTAATTAATGTCACTGAATTGCACATGTGAAAAACGTTGAAATGGAAAATGTTTTGTTATATATATCTTTACCACAATTAAAAAAATCTCCCCTACATTTATTATCTCACAGTTTCTGTGAGTCAGGAATCTTGGCACAGCTTAGCTGGGTCCTCTGCTTCAGGGTCTCAAAAGCTGTCATGGATTGAATTGTAGTATGTGTCACCTTGGCTAGGCTATGATTCCCAGTATTGTGTAGTTGTCCACCATTTTATGATCTGATGTGATTTTCCTATGCATTGTAAATCCTACCTCTACGATGTTAATGAGGCAAGATTAGAGGCAATTATGTTAATGAGGCAGGACTCAATCAACAGGATTAAGTTGTATGTTGAGTTAATCCCTTTTGAGGTATAAAAGAGATAATTGAGCAAAGAGGAAAGGGACCTCATACCACTAAGAAAGAAGTGCTTGGAGTGAAGCATGTCCTTTGGACTTTGAAATATCATATATCTCTATATATATAAATATATATAAATTTCATATATCCACACACATACCAAACTGTATACCTAAATTACAGTTTCATCAAAAGCTTTTAAAACCTTAATTTCTAAAACAAAGTTTATTCACGAATATCATGGGTAATACCCTAATTACATTCATTACTCTTCTTCACCTTGGACTTTAGAAGAGCCGATGTATGTTTTATAGTTAAATAAGAAACAGGTGGGCCTCATATGGTGACAGTGTAGTAACTATACATTGTTCTTTTTAGCTAGTATTTTTCAGATTAGTTTATGTTACAAGTGTAGGCGATTTTTTTAAGGGGCATTCATGGAGTTATCAGAGGACACAATAGATTGGGTTTTATGAGAGTGATAAGGAATATATAGATAAATACTAGTTTCTGAAGTTTTGAACCCTAACCACATAATACTAGTGACAGTTTTTAATACAGGTCAGTTTGTGCCAAACTCCATTTTGCTTTTTAAAAATTCTTAGGTAAATATAAGTATTTATTAAGTTGACCATGTTTTAATCTACATTTTCAAAAGCCAATTTGAAATATCAAGAAATAAAACCACATTAATCCAAACACAAGTAATGAAAGTATAGTAGTACAGCTTTTTTGGTAATGTTTTCCTATATAGCGAACTTGCCTAATGTCTGATAATATATAAAATATAGTAAAATGGTTGTCACAATTCTCTAATTAAGAGTACATCTATGTATATTACATCAAAAAAGAACAACATAATTACTTTAATCATTGTTGGATTACCTCATTGAGTAAGTGTTCATAATTTGTATTGTCGTGTTTTTTATTAATCTAGATGAGAAATATTCGATTGTCTGATTTCACCGAATCCTTGAAAAAGATAAAACGCAGCGTGAGCCCTCAAACCTTAGAAGCATACATACGTTGGAACAAGGATTTTGGAGATACCACCGTTTAAGGAAATACCTATGTAAACCTGTAGAACAGTTTAGTTACCAAGAAACACACGATCTTCAGTGAGGAGTTAGTTACCAGCTACAGAAAATCAGCCTAAGTTTACAGGACTTATCAGTCTTAAAATTATTTGTGCACTAAACTTGAAGAACCAGAAAGCAAATTTAAATAAAGTATACAATGCAAATGGAATATTTTGTTGTTTAAGGCCTTCTTGCCTTGATGGTCATGGTTATCCCAATTGGTTCTGTAAGAGCACAAGAAAAACTGATTATGTTCTTCTCTACCAATATAATTGTAATGTAAATAATTTGTATATTGTGTTGCAGATGAAAGTATTCTAGAGACAGTGAATGGTAGAAGACACAAGAATCTTTTGTTCATTTTTCTTCTGACGTCTTAATATAGTCATATTTTTCCTATTTTTCTTTCCTACTGTTGTCTTAACTGTGGATGGATGATTGGAATGCCAAGCACTAGAAGTTTTGTTCTTCCCCTTTTACAAATTCATTGTGCCAAATGAAACTTTTTCCTATGTCATGTAGAAAGAAGTATTTTAAGGGTTTTTTCTTCTTAAATATATACACACTAAATAATTGTGTTGTTTTTAATTTGTTTTTCTATTACCTTGCTTCCAAATAATTTAGAAAACAATATGATAGCAACAAAGCAAATCTGGTAAAATAGAGAAGGAGAAGAGTTGAAGGTTTAAGTTGCTCTGCTGTACAATATACAGACCAATCTTCATGTAACCTGCAGTATTGTTTCTTTTATTTACCAAAAATCTATTGTAGACTGTTAACTTATCCCTGATGGAATTTATTTTCTGCTAGAATTATTCTTAACTTAAAAGAACAAATTTAGCAATTCTAAAAGTAGTTCTAGTGCAAGCGAAGGGAAATACTGGGAGCTAAGACATTTCTAATTTATTGCTCATTTCTTACTGTTTACAGGTATAATTATAAGCCAGTGGAACTACTGTCTTTCATTCTTAATAGTTATTTATCGCTTCAATAAAACTTTAAAAAGTTACTGAATTTTTAAACAATGCATACATTTTATAGGTTTCTTTCCTCACTTTATTAACTCAAAAGTTCTAGTTTGTCAGCCTGCTCTTTGTTCCCCCAAAATGTACAGTCATTCTGTTTCTTGTTTGTATAAATACGCTTGGATTTTTATTATAAAAATGTCTCTGTAGGAATTAGACACTTATATCATGGCCTTTTAAATATTGTAATAAAGGCAAATGAATAATTGCCCTTAGTTTACTGGTTAAAAGTTTGTTTACACAATTTTTCTTTGGTGCTTAAATGATGTTATGAAAATGTCATGGATGGAAAAAAAATGTTTTTATAGTAGTAAGAATTTTCATTTAGGAAAACACCTTTGATATTGCCACAGTATGTTAAAATCAAGAACTTGCCCCTACTACACAAGAATTTTATGAAGACATAATTTTTGTTCATTTTATTCTTGTTCTTGTTAAAGATTTATCTAAATAGAGAAGATGTATGCTTTTTTATGATAATGCACTGTTTGCAGCTGTAACTTAAATCATACCTCTTCTCATCATGACTTTAAAACTTCCTAGATAATTAAAATGACAGTTAAGATAAATTAAAAAATTTTAAAGCCAGAGCTAATGCATATTTTATATTAATATCTTTTTAAAGTCTCAAACATTAAGATATCATTTATAAAATATTAAAAATGAAAGGTGGAAATAAGTATACATTATGGCAAGAACTGAGAAAATCCCAAATTAAAGCATTTTCAGTAAAGCTCATAATTTCATTTAGAAAGGGATTAACATTATTGATACTTGAAAAACTGGCTAACTATATTAAACGACTGTGCTTTCAGATCAGCTTTTAAAATATAATCTTTAAAAGTATCATAATTCTATCTGCAATAATTTAATGTAGATCACTTTTTATTTGAAACATTTTTAGATTGACAGATTTCAAATGTTAAAAGTCAAGTTAATATTGTCATAATCATTGAATCAGAAAATTACATTACTGTTTGAATATCCATCCATGTATAGCAGTTTTGATCAAGTTGGAAGTTGCATTTAGTGCTAGAGAACTATTTTCTATGACTTACCATGACCAAGTTTTATTTTAAATTGTGTTTCTTTGATAGAAAGGCCATGAATATAAAATGATGATATAGTAGGAGGTGATGGATTGGTTTGGTCTTTTCCAATAAAGATATAGTAGGAGGTGATGGATTGGTTTGGTCTTTTCCAATAAAGATAGAAATTGCTGAAGTTTTGTGACTTAATATTAGATTTGCATTGTGACCTTTTAGATTTTCCATTAATCCCTGAGTCATATTACTTCCTGAAGTATAATGGTTAAACATTAAGCATTAGTGTGCCCTTAATTTTTAATATGGCAGAGTTTTGTAAACTAAATTAAAACTTATTAATATACCAAAGTTTGGGCCAAGGGAAAAAATACAAATCCAGATATTCATGAGTAAAAGCTTATTCTGTCTGCCCGTTAAGGTGATTAGATTTCTGACACAGATATGCTTTGTGCTTGGGAAGAATTGGAATAAAAGCAGATACTAGAATTCTAGTTTAAGTAAATATACAGCAGTCTTTGTTTATAGTGTAAAATTCTTTATATTTTGTACAAAAACCAATTCTTTTGGTAGAATGAACAGTTTACAGTTTGTTTTTGGACTATGAATCAATGGATTTTCATTTAAATGCTTGTCTCAATTTTGATCTTTTGTACTTTTCTTGGAAAGAAATGAATTAAAGTGTTAAGCTGTATAAAAAAATTTTTTTTTCCCCTAATGGATTGGAAATAAATGAAAAACTTTATTTTGCCTTTAATAATTTTATTAAATCTTTTGAAATTTCAGAGGTTGCTATTCTGGTAATGAAGGAGTAGCTTTTATTAGACTAATTCTCTTGCCAATAACAATTCTAAACTCTGGACAAAATATAAAAATCAATTATTAGAAGGCACCAGAGAGCAACCAAAAGTAGACTGAACCTGGACAAAATCCAGTCCTTGAAAGGAGGCAAGTATATTAGATCCACATTAACTGATTTTTGCCCTGAGGGTAATTTACAGTTCGTACAGTGCACTTGGGAATAGAATTCAAGCAGAATGTGGCAGTCTTATTGGGCTGAAGAGACACTTGGGGCTTCAGACAGCTGGAAATTAGGAGGAAATTTTGGAAAGGAGAGAGCATCAGAGGAATAAGTCTCAAAAATCTGCCTACAGATTCCTTTCAAATCCTTGATGGACTCCAGAACTGCACAAATGCAGTGTGATATTCAGCGTAATTCAGCAGAAAGCAGCTTAGTCTAATGAACTAAGCAGAGGTCTTGAGGAGAGACAGACTTTATTTAGAATTCAAATTTCAGTAAGTTAAAGTGTTTGAATGGTGCCTCACCCTAAAAGATGTGTCCACGCAGAACCTGTGAATGTGAATTTATTTGGAAACACGGTTTTAGCAGATGTAATTAAGGATCTCAAAAGGAGAACATCCTGAATTAGTGTGGGCCCTAGTCCAATGACAAATGTCCTGAGAAAAGGAGAGAAGACATACAAAGAAGAATGCCTTGTGAGGGTGGAGGCAGAGATTGGAGTTTGGTCTCAAACCAAGGAATGCCTGGAGACGTTAGAAGAGGCAAGGAAGTCGTCATGGATTGAATTATGTCCCCCCAAAGATGTATGTATCAGTTTGGCTGCGCCATGATTCCCTGTATTGTGTGATTTTCCTGTATGTTGTAAATCCTGCCTCTGTGATGTTAATCAGGGAGGATGGGCAGCAGTTGTGTTGGTGAGGCAGGACTCAATCTACAAGATTGGGTTGTGTCCTGAGTTAATCTTTTGCGATATAAAAGAAGTGAGTAGAGAGACAAGGGGACCTCATACCATCAACAAAGCAGTGCCGAGAGCAGAGCACGTCCTTTGGACAGGGATCCCTGTGCAGAGAAGCTCCTAGTTCGGGGGAACATTGGTGACAAGGCTGACAGAGAAAGCCTTCCCTTGGAGCTATTGCCCTGAATTTAGACTTTTAGCCTACTTTACTGTGAGGAAATAAATTTCTCTTTGTTAAAGCCATCCACTTGTATTTCTGTTATATCAGCACTGGGTAACTAAGACAGAAGGAATCTCTTCTAGAGCCTTCAGAGGGAGCGCAGCCCTGTCGACATTTTGATTTCAGACTTCTGACTTCTGGAACTGTGACAGACTAAATTTCTGTTGTTCTAAGCAGCCTGATTTGTGGTCGTATGTTATGGCAGCCCTAAGAAACTAATAGAAACCAAAACCAAACTAAACAAGTTGACATTAAGTTGATTCTGACTCATAACAATCCCATGTGTTTCACAGTAGAAGTGCATATAGGATTTTCAATGGCTGTGATTTTTTGGAAGTAGATCAACAGGCATTTCTTCTGAGGCACTTCTGGGTGAATTTGAACCACCAACGTTTTAGTTAGTGTCCAAGTGCTTAGCTGTTTGCACCACAGCACCACAGGGATTCAGGAAACTAATACAAGGGACTTAGTAAACACTTTGGGTAATGCATTGAAATTCAAAAAGGGCCAAGCATTTGAAGTAAGAAAAACATCCTTAGGACTAAGGACTGTGCTTTAGGACTAAGAGCAAAATGTAAACAAACTCATTGTAACAAAGCTTGAAATGAGTCCTTCACAGGATCAAGTTTATCCGTTAGTGATTTAACAGATAACCAGAACAAAACACACCATTCTTTAAAAGAAAATAATCCAGAGTCTTTACAACATACCGTCTACAAAATCCAATACACAAAAATAAGCCTGCAAAGAAATATGTGATCCATAATCAATAGAAAATATATGGAAGCAGATGCACAGATGACACAGATGTTGAAATTAGCAGAAAAAGATTTTAAAACAGCTTTAAAATATGTTAAAGAATTTACAGGAAAGAAGACAATGGGTGAACCGATGGATGTTTTCAGCAGAGAAATAGAACTAAAAACCAAATGGTGCTCACATACGTGGTCAATTGATTTTCAGCAAAGGTGCCAAGAATATTAAATGGGGAAAGACAGTCTTTTCAACAAATGGTGCTAGGAAAACTGGATATCCACATGCAAAAGAATGAAATTGGAACCTTACCTTACACAATATACAAAAAACAACTCAAAATGGATCAAAGACCTAAATCTAAGTGTTAAACTATAAATCTCTTGGAAGAAAACATAAGGGGAAGCTTAGATGTTGCAATGAATTCTTAGGTATGACAGTAAAAGCACAATGATAGAAAAAAATAGATAAATTAGACTATCAAAATGTATGCATCAAAGGATGTTATCAAGAGAGTGAAAAGATAAAATGGGAGAAAATATTTGGAAATCATATATCACAAGCAATTAATATCCAAAATATTAAAAAGGACTCTTACAACTCAAAAAATGGTCAAAGGACTTGAATAGACATTTCTCCAAATGATATACAAATGGCTAATAAGTACGTGAAAAGATGCTCAACGTCATAATAAATGTTGGTGCAGATGTGGAGAAACTGGAACACTCATGCTTTGCTGGTGGGAATGTAAAATGGTGCCGTTCTGTGGAAAACAGGTAGTTCCTGAAAAAGTTAAAAATAGAATTGCCTTAACCAAACCCATTGCCGTTGAGTCAGTTTCGACTCACAGCAACCCTATAGGACAGAGTAGAGCTGCCCCCACAGAGTTTCCAAGGAGCAGCTGGTGGATTAGCCAGCTTAGCAGCTGAATGCTTAGCCACTGCACTGCCAGGTCTCCAGAATTAACTTAGGCCCAGCAATTCCACTCTTGGTTACATACTCAAAAGAATTGAAAGCAGGACTCAAACAGATACTTGTACACCAATGCTCATAGCAGCATTATTCACAATAGCCAAAAGGTGGAAATAAGTGTTCATCGGTAGATGAACGGATAAACTAAAGGTGGTCATAAAAAAGTTCTGATACGTGCTACAACATGGATGAATCTTGAAGACATTGCTAAGTGAAATAACTCAGAGACAAAAGGACAAATATTACATGATTTCACTTACACAGGGTATCTAGAGTAGGCAAATTTATAGCGATTGTGGGGAAAGGATAATGGGGAGTTGTTTAATGAGTATAGAGTTTCTGCTTGAGATGATAAAAAAAGATCTGGAAATAATACTGATGGTTATATAACAGTGAATATAGTTAACCACTGAATTGTACACTCAAAATTGATTAAAATAAATTTTATGTATATTTTAGAACAAAAATTTTTTAAAAAAGGAAAATAGTAATAAAAGTAAAATCTATAATGAAAAATTTGAAATAAATCCATTGGATGGACTTAACACTAAACTGGGAAGACTGAACGGGAAGAGAAGTCAATGCGATTATTAAACGGAAGCATAGAGAGGAAGAAGAAAAGAAACAGCAGGAGGTTTGAGACCTACATCAGTCTATTGTAGCTGTAATTTTAAAACCAGAAGGAGAGAGAATGGGGCAAAATAATTATTTGAGGCAATAATGCCTGAATTTTTCCAAAATTGTTGAAAGACATCAAGTTACAGACAGAATTCAGTTATAGTGACCACTAGCCTCTCATTAGAAAGAATGGGATGACATCTTCAAAGTGCTAAAATTAAACAATAACAATACTTAACCTAAAATTCTATATCCAGTGAAAATATCCTTCAAAAATATTGAGGTAAAATAAAGACCTTTTCAGATAAATGAAGACTAAGAGGATTGATTGCTGGCAGACTGGCATTCTAGGAAGTGCTTTAAGAAATTATTTAGGTTGAAGGAAGATAATCCTCAATTCAAAATTGTTTATCCAGGAAGGAATTAAGAATTTTAGAAAGGATAAACATGTCAGTAAATACAAATGAAATTTTTCTTAATTTCCTTAAATATCTACTGGCTGTTTTAAAGCAAAAATAATTTTTGAAGTTATGATATTTATGACGTAGAAGTAAAATATAGGGTGAAAAAATCTCAAAGGCTAAAGAGAACAGTAAATGGAATTATACTGAAGTAAGGTTATTCATTACATTTTACACAAAGTGATATAGTATTGAGTAAGATAGATGGTGAAAAGGGTGTATATTGTATCTCTAGCACAGTCACTGAAAAAGAAGTATACCTAAAAAGCCATTAGAGAAGAATGGATTACTGAAAATTACTTGGTTGGCTCAAATGAAATCAAGGAAGGAGGAACAAAGGAATAAAACAGATGAGACAAATATAAAACAACAGGATGGTAGAGCTGAAACACAGCAATGTCAATAAAGTTAAATTGAAATGAATTGCTCTCTTCCTGAACAATTCAGGTTTTAAAAAATTGTTACAGTTTTTTTATTTTTCTGTGTCAACTAAATACTAAAGAAAACAACTCAGCAGCTGTCAGAGACACATCAATGTTACATTTAGAGGGAATTGTGGGGGACATGTAAATGTCTGTTGTGTTCGTCCATAAACAACGCACAGCAACTTCTAATTGAGGCATGACTTCCTGCTGAGCACTGTAGTAGAAGTTCTAGGGGGAGAAAAGTTTTGTAAAAGAAATAGATGCCCTTGACATTAGCAGCACACTAAAGAAATGTTTAA